CTATTACAGGAAAATTTATTAGTTCAAAAACAAATTGAAAAAATATTGAAAAAACTGCTACTGTTCACTTTGGCAATCTTTTTTTAAGCCTTCATCGATCTCAATTAAATGTCGTTTGTACGATTGCCTTGCTTAATTGGATTGGAAACATTGTATTGTCAAGTCGATCGATTGTCACAAACCCTAAAAAAGTTTATCATAGAACGAAAAAGTACGCTTTCCAAGGGTCCCGCTGACATAACCTAAAAAACTTGATCGAATCCAACTCGCGAGTGGTATGAAGAATCGGGGCAAGCTTGATTTTTTCCATATTGCAATAAACTAGTGGTGGGAGGCGACTTTACGCTTATATTCCGTAAAAAATCCCCATTTCTCCTCAAATGCAGGGACAAAAAGTTCGCAAAAGGAAGGTATATAGGCAGGTACACTCAGAGAGACAGGGGAAGCACAAAGTTTCATGTCTCGAGAGTTTATATGCATGTATACCAACTGTACGTGCACGTGCTCGGGACCGGATCATTTACAGCCATTTTGATAAATAGCCATGATAATGCACACCTACTTATACATTACACTGTTATAAAAGTAACGAGCACAGTAAGGTACTTTGGCGGAAAAAATTTCTACGGCCGGGGATACAGGCGCACGTACGAGCTTATCTATTGTGTTGGTTAGCTTGATCTCTTGAAATTTGTTCGTTCGCTGTAAAACGTATTTATGGACGGCCATAAAATCCATAGGAATTATCTGGTAAAAAAAAAAAACAAATTTTTCTAAGGTCAAAGAAAATGGGGTTCCCATCAATTTTTGGATTCAGGGGTGTGTACAATTGAACGGGTGAAAAGGAGTGCAATACTTATGTGGGGTGTGTTGCATTGTCGGTGCGGTTTACTTACGTAACTGATCATGGGTATGTTGCGCGACTGGGCGACGATGGCTTCGACGTGACAGGAGCCCTCGGGTCCGAAAAAAGCGACGACCCCGTCGCATATCATGTCGATCATCGCCTTCGTTGCCTCGACCGTTTCGCCTCTCGTGTCGTTCCATCGCATTTGCAGTTTCACGCTCGGCAGTAGGTCCTGATCTTCGTTTACCTGGTGGACAAACATTTCAAGAAAAATGCACCGTTAAATAAATGCTATTTTTTTCCATTTTATTGTTTTTGCATTTTAATAACAGTAAGAAACAAATATCGCCATGCACCACCATCATCGTCAATATCATCGAATACACTAGCTAACGTAAGTCGAGTGACGCGCAATTTTTTTTCTTTTATTCTTACTTTTATTTATATCGAAAACAAAACTTAATACAGGGTAACCAAAAACACCACGTTTTATGATAATAAAAACTACACTGTAGTTTTAAAAAAATCAGTAAAGTGGATGTCCCAGTACTCGCTCACTCAAGTAGACGAAATGTCCCAATCGTCGGTCACTTTTCTTCTTTTATAAGTCTTTGTTATATTGTCAATTGGGTATACCCGTTAATTTGTATTGAAAAAGTAATTGTTTAGTGTCTGATGAATAACTACCAGATTTATCTATGTTTTGAAAATTCATATTGGATAAATCAGCCAAATAATAATTGGGACATGACCGAGTACCGGGACATCGAGCTTATGTATTCGGATTTTTTGCGACTTGTAGTATTTATGAATGCAAATGCATCTGGTTAAACTGAAGATTGAATAACTTGCAACATTTCTATCCCTCTTTTAACTTAGGATTAACCCTGTCTATCGTCTCACGTGTTTTTATACCACCTGACTTGTCACGGCCCAATCAAACGTCCAAAAAGACGCTTACTTATGAATTTCGTTATCATTAAGGATTGATGCAAGTGCTCCAAGTATAAATTTTTTAACTTATAATTCGGTCCCAACGATCTCCCTTTATTTAGACCAGAGCCACCGAATTTGGCAATAAGCAATCGAATGACCAAACGCCCCAACAACGCCTATAAATAATTCACGGCACTACTGCACTTCGGGCACACAATGTGTCAGCCGCGAGGACACGCAACGACTATGCATCATAGCAGCGCTTAAATGGTGTCATATATATGGTACAAAAACACCGGTCGCGATCTTCCGCTGCATCAGCCTCATTAGCATAATGAAGCCTATACACAGACGCAAACGTAACGTCCGCCGAGTGGGCAGGTATACACCTCGGTTAGCCAAAAATACGCGTAAAGTGTGCGCGTACGAGCCAGCGGTTCCTCGTTTGTTGCGCGAAAAAAAGGAGCGCGCGTCGTCCTCGGAATCCTTGATCGAGTCGCCGGAGCGCCACCGGTTCCTCCTATACCCCGCTCTCCCCGTTTTCGATCGTCGTTTCTTGCGTCTCTCTATTTTCAGCCCAACTAGTTTTTGGTAATCCTTCGTTTCTGCGTCTCTTCCGTCTTCTCGACGGACTCCGCTCTACGCGCGTACACGTGTTGTTTTAGGTGTTTTTTGAAAAGTCACCCCCGGTCAGAGACACGTATTACTTTCAGTCCAAGTAGCAGAGATAAAGTTTGATACAAAAAAAAAATATACATAGACTCGTCGATAAATAAACAATGATTGAGTGTAAATACAGAGACTTGTGAGTACAAAGAGGAAAAAAAAAAAAATGATAGAGGAGTCATAGAAGCAGTTTGAAAGTGCATATAGGTAGAGGGTAAAATAACTAGGCATCGAAAAAAGTGAAGACACCCATTTGTAAGAAAATATTGTTACGAACAAACTGACTTAGAGACACAGTTATGGTACCAGTTTAGGGAAAGATAAAGTGATAATGATTTAGATGTACAGCTGAGCGATCGATACAACAAAAAGATGTTAGGGACGCTCACCAACATAAAGATTTAGAAATAAATAATGAGCGGATGAGATGATAAGTCCTAATGACAAAAAATGACAGATTTTAATGAAATAAACGACAATTGTGAATGTAGTGATACAAGAGAAAGCACAGAAGAGGAGAAATATCTGAGAGAATAGAAAAAAAGGTAAAAATGGATACAAAGATTATACGTCATGAGGACAAAAGGTTTTCGTTCACTAGGAAAAATTATCAGAACAGAGTCGCAAAAGTACAGATAACAAACAAAAAGTACAGATACAAAAAAAACATACTCGGAAACGTATTCAATGGTATATACAAAGATCAAAATTCAATCATTTAGATAAAAGAGATAAATTCGAAGTAAAATTTAGGGATTGACACAATGAGACCAAAAATAAAGGCAGAGTAACAATAACACAGAGATAGAGTCATAACAATGAAAGCTTAGAGACGCGGAATGAAGTATACGAAAAAAGCGGTGAAAAAGGAAAGTACAGTGTTTGAAATGAATAAACCGCAACGTAGGGACATGTAAAGGCTTGGAAACAAAGGCAAACAGAGGCCAAAGACGTTTTAAACTTAAGTTAGTAAAATCATGAATCTCTAAGCCAAATCGAAGGTATTGAAGAGTTAATTCCACAATTAAACTAAAGGCTGCACTTTAAAAGCTTTTCATCATGTACATAAATCAGTTGGAATCAAACAACATAAATATCATTAATAGTATAAACACACATAAATAAACGTATTGATGGTAAAAGTAAAGGAAAAACACTTTATCACTGGTACAAGACAGAAGAGGAAGCCAGCGTGTGTATATCGGCGAAACGCCGCAACTTGGCATTCAAATACAGGTGATGCATGCACGTCCAAAGGAGCCGAAAGAGAAAACCGCGACTTCTAATCGGATACGGTGCGTGCGTTTTATACACACACACACCTGCACCCGATATATGTACATCGCGGCCGCGGCAAAAGACCAAATGTGCAAATTCGATCGGGTGAAAGTGCGCTTCGGCTATACGTACACACGCAAACGGTATACCAATACATTTATAAATCGACACTCGGGAGGAGGACTCTATACGGTCCGTGGCACGTTCTACATGCTTTTTGGTATATATATTCATGTTATATATGCTAATGTGTGGATGAAAAACGGAAAAATAGTGACAAATGCTTCCTATACGGCGCGAGCGCTTGCCGGTGCTTTGGCATCCGTTTTCCATAAATCTGAAATTTGTAGCTGGCGCACGCGCCCGGATGAGAGAGCTCTCTTTTTTTCCGCTTGTTTCCTCTTTCCGTCTCTTTTTTTTCGGGTGTTTCCTTTGGTGGTACACAACCGTAGAAACGCGTGTTTGGTGGATCGCTGATCGAGATTGGGGTGATATTTTTACGCTGTTCTATGGGAATGTACACAAGTGTGTAATTTATTGTCCACCTAAATTGTAAAGAAAGAATCGTCAATCAAAGCTTGATGAGCTTGATCGTGAGGTACCTATAGTCGTCGACTCGTTGTTCACCGTGACAATTAGATATCGCACGATGAGTGGTGGTCACTCGGATTTCGTCAGGGGTACAGTTCAACAAAAAGTGCGAAGCAATACGATGATCTCGTTGGATGATCCGTGTAAGAGGAACCCCTCCTGGTGACCCATTCTCCTGATGAGCTCATATGCCCAAGAGCCATCGTAATTTTCTTTTTTTTTTTTTTTTTTTTCGCCTTTCCACACTATTACAGCACGTTGTATTTGCGACGCGTATACGATGTAATCATGANTTTTTTTTTTTTTTTTTTTTATTCATCGCGCGCAACATCTGCTCCCACGACGACTTGATCGCCTGGGCACAAGTACTGCATCCGGGCTCCACGGTTATCGAGGATTTCGACTGCCACTATACGTCCGCACCACCCGCTCTGTCTCCGTCGAGCTCGAAGGATCGTAAATTCCAGTGCGTTCCCCCACGGGCCCTCCTGCCCGGGCCGTACCTACACCACCCATCGTAAATTTTTCTTTGTCGATGCCCACGGAGCGAACGGATGGGCCTGATATTGTGTATGTGTATATATATATATGTGTGTGTGTGTGTGTGTGTGTGTGTGTATATGTGTGTGTGTGTGTGTGTATCTCCGTAAGAGACTTTTTTTTTTGTTTCTAACGGCAACATCGGCTCCTTCGATCGGGGATCGGTCAAATTCACTCGGCCAAAGGATGTTGAACCGCCCGGTTAGATCCTTGGAGATGAAAAAATGCCACGCGGCTCCTTGGTAGGTATAGACCAACGTGAGTTATGTACTTTACTGTTGTCTCTCTCTCTTTTTTTTTTTTTTTTCTCTTTTCAGTACATGTATACACAAAAAAAAAAAAAAAACGGTAAAAAAAGAATCCACGCATTCCCCGCAAAAGCGTAATAAAAACAATTTATGAAGATTAGAAACCTTCGCAGAGATCGGGAGAATCGTCGATTAAAACTTTTTATAAAATTTTTCTTTTTTTTTTTTCGCAAAACGAGGCGCTGGTCAATATTTTTCGCATAGGATTCCAAGAGAGGGACGGGCTCTCGCGTAGCGGGTCTCGATATGATATATAGAATCGTATGATCCGCCGACTGAAATAAATATCCCCGTAAATCAAAGCTCCGAACGTAGAATATAGGCGTGCCGATTTGGGCTCTCCGAAACGATGTACGGGGGAGAAAGAGACAATTTTTAACGATTCGCTCGTTAGTCACATAATTAATACGCGTGGATCGTTAGTTGTAAAAAGTGCCAAGTGTTGTCGCCGATTTTTATTCTCTCGAGCTCATCGAGGGCACAGAGTTAGTAAAATCATCAAAGAGATCGGTACCGCGTATAACGATCGTCAATTAGATCGCGATCGGTGGGCGCTACCGATTTGCAAACATCCAAAAGACGTCAATATAATATCTTTAAAACCTTTCCAGTGACGAGCAAATGACACACACCATATTCACGAGAGGAGCATCGCTGAGAGCCGAGTACACCGGTATATGTATACACATGGGCAACGTAGCACCGCGAGATTTCGTAGAGTACATATAGCTATAGAGAGCCCTTAGCCGGAACAACTTGGCCGGACTCCAGATGCTGTGCACGCATTTTCCACCGGTTTGATATTACCCGCGCACACACGTAAGGACAATTGTGCGTATATATATACATAGAGTCCGATGCGTTTTTACATATGCCAGTCCAGGGAGTCTCTACTGCTCTGCTGCTCTCACGACGACCAGCCCATTTA